ACACAGCAGCTGCCACAGAAACGTGGTGGGACACCTCACACGGCTGGAGTGTGGCAATCGATGGCTGCAAGCTCTTCAGGAGGGACAGACAGGGCAGGAGTGTCAGTGGGGAGGTTTGTGAGTTAGAGGATGCTGGGAGAGCTCAGAAATTAAGTACAGTGATAACAGGGTTGGGAGTGTGTGGGTTAGGTTAAGGGCCAATAACGCAGATCTTGCTGTGGGAGTCTGCTACAGACCCCCCAACCAAAGCGGTGAGGTGGGTGAAGCTTTCTATAAACAGCTGGGAGAAATCTCACGGTCACTTGCTGTTGTTCATGTGGGGGACTTGAACCCAAGAGGTTAAAGGAGGTTGGAAAACACCCTCGGGATCATCGAGTCCAACCCTCAGCCTGACTCTACAAAGTTCTCCCTACCCCACATCCCCCCACAGCTCATCCCAACGGCCCTTAAACACACCCAGGGATGGGGACTCCACCCCTCCCTGGGCAGCCTATTCCACTCTCTGACCACTCTTTCTGGGAAATATTTTTTCCTCATGTCCAGTCTGACCCTTCCCTGTCACAGTTTCAAGCCGTTCCCTCTTGCTCTGTCACTAATTCCCTGTGGGAAGAGCCCAGCACCAACCTCTCTGCAATGTTCTGTCGGGAGCTGCAGAGAGGGATGAGGGCTCCCCTCAGCCTCCTCCTCCTCCTCCTCACACTGAACACTCCCAGCTCCTTCACTGGCTCCTCACAGGATTGATTCTCCAGGCCCTTCCCCAGCCTCCTTGCCCTCCTCTGCCCTCGCTCCAGCCCCTTGGGATCTCTCTTATATTGATGTCACTGAAAACCGGGATAAAAACTTATCGACACCAATGTGATGTAGATAAGCAGACACTTCTTTATTGACGGCCGGATGTGTAGGGGAGGGTTCTCACCAACAACACGTACCAGGCACCAGAATCATACCCCTTATATAGAACTTTTCCAAGAAATCATTAACATATTCTCCTCCTATTTCCGATTCTGCACAGTAGAGGTTAGAAATGTCTAGAAATGGGTCTGGGGTGTAATGTGAGTAGGTGGTCCATGAGTTGGGGGTCACGATCTCCCCCTGCCGGAGTTACCTTTTGCTCAAGGACACGGTTTTCTTGGCAGGTACTTGCAAGCTGTTACGGTTACTGCCCTCAGTTCCCATTAATCCTGGACCTTGACAACTACTTGCATTCTTCTAGTCCTGTGTACGTATTATAAATCAGCTTACATATCACGTCGTGTTTTGTTACCCAGGTTCTAACCGCTCCTACTAAACAATTATGACCAATCCCTTCAGCCTTGGTACAGGGCTGTACAGGGGATTTTAGAGTAGCAGTCGGTTGCTAGATTCAAAATACAATAAATGTAAAATTATTTTTACTATACACTTATATTAAAACCAAACACAATTTAATTTCAGTTGATAATAAAATCAGTAACATTGAGGTGCCCAAAACTGGACACAACACCCCAGGTGTGGCCTCACCAGTGCAGAGCACAGGGGGACTGTCACCTCCCTACTTCTGCTGGTCACACTATTTCTAATCCAAGCCAGAATGCCGTTGGCTTTCTTGGCCACCTGGGCACACTGCCTGATCATGTTCAGCTGCTTGTCAATGAGAACCCCCTGATCCTTCTCCTCCCCACAGCTCCAGCCACCCCTCCCCGAACCTGTAGCCATGCAGGGGGTGGTTGTGGCCCAAGGGCAGGACCTGGCACTTGGCCTTGTTGAAGCTCACGCCGTTGACATTGGCCACCAATCCAATCTGTAATAAACTATTGTAACCAATTTGCTAAATTGAGCAAGGTGGGTACTGTAATAAACTTCTGTAACTAATTTGTTAGGTTGGGTAGGGTGGGTACAATACACTTGAATGATCTGTAAATGTTAAACCATCAAAATGTAAAGTGTGCCATTGGGTTGGAACAATGTAACCGTGACTCAGAAACCCCACCCAGAGCTGATACCTAACTGCTGTTTGAAGAAAAGCCCCCCAAAGATGAGATCATGAGGCTTTTAAAAGATCCAATAGGAGAAAGCACGTCAAGAGACCAAGGCTTCGAGACATTCGAAAGACCCAATAGGAGGAGCACATGCACCCCAGCAACTCAGATGACCCAATGGAAAAGAGCAGGACAATCATCTGACGGGAGGAGACTGGTTAAAGACGATGGCACAAGAGTATAAAAAACGCTGCTTTTTGGAACTCGGGATGCGTGTGGCAGAGTTGCGGCTCTCCGTGCACCCAGCGCTGCTTTGCCTATTGCTTCCCACCCTAAGTCGATTGAACCCAAATAAAACTATATATATTTTTATAAAATTTGGCTTTGTCTGATTATAACAAATCTATCCCAGTCTCTCTGCAGAGCCTCCCTATCCTCATGCAGATCGACACTCCCGCTTCACTTGGTGCCGTCTGCGAACTCACCGATGATCCACTCTGTGTCCTTATCAAGATCATCGGTGAAGATGTTGAACAGAAATGGTCCCAACACCGAGCCCGGAGGTCACCACTTGTGACCGGCCGCCAGCTGGATTTAGCTCCACTGACCACCCCTCCCCGGGACCGGCCATCCAGCCAGGGCTTGACCCAGCAGACCGTTCCCTCATCCAGGCCATGGGCAGCCAGTTTTTCTATGAGAATTCTACGGGGAAGTGTGTCGAATGCTTTTCGAAAGTCTGGGTAGAGAATACCCACAGCCTTTCCCTCGTCCAATAGTCGGGTCACCCTGTCATAGAAGGAGATGAGGCGAGGACCCTCACCCTGCCCTCTCCCGGGGAAGGGGGGAGACAGGCAGCCCGAGAGCTGCGGGGGCAGGGACGGCTCGGTGACCGGGGATGGGCTGCAGCAGGGATTTACAGACGCGTTACTGCAGCAGCTCTGTCATGAGATGCATACCGTGTGTGAGCGGCGAGGACCGAGAAGGAGTTTCACCAGGCGACAGAGTGTAACGCCCCGAGTTCTGTGATAGTGTTTGCACTCGAGGTCCCCCCACAAATGACGTTTTAGCGGCTTAAGCTGAGCGAAGCATCTTTTGTTTCCTCTCCAGATCACACCGCGCCGCTGAATCGCCCGTCGGGGGAAATCCGGGACCGGCGTCACCTCCGGGATCTGCGCGCCGAGAGCCAGATCCTCATCACAGTCCGCTAATGAGGGCAGCGCGGGCGGCGCCGCTCCAGCCCCGGAGAGCGCCCGGCGGCGGCGGCGCGGGGACCGTGCGCGGC